AAAACAATAACAGTTTTCTCGGTAGTTTATTTTCACTGTGCATGGTGAAGGGTTTCACAAAGACAATTTCTTTTAAGAACTTTATGTGTTTAATCATATCCACCATCACTCCACCCCGAATTCTCTCATTACCTCTCATTAGGCTCCTTCTTACCCCCAGTCTCTCCTCTGTTTCTATGCTATATGCATGTATGTGTGATTTTGCATATCTAATAAAGCATGGGATCCACAAATGAGAGAAAATATGAAATATTTGTCTTTCTGGCATATTTTGCTCAATATAATAATGATCTCAAGTTGTATCCATTTTATTGAAGACGACATAATTTCATTCTTCTTTAAGGCTAAATAAAATACCAATATGTATACGTACTATGTTGTTTCCTTTATCCTTGCATCTGTTGAGAGTACCTAGGCTGAGTCCATAACTTGATTCATAACATGGCTCTCACGGTAGTCTGTTGACTTAGAATAGGTGGCTCATAGGGTGGTTCAATTTCTAGTTCTTTGAGAAACCTCCATACTGATTTCCACAGCAGCTGAAGGAATACCAACTTTTAAATGAGGACTCCTATTGTAAGGATAGTAAGTTGTTGATATATAGTATTGAAAAAGCATCACACATGAAGGAGATGTAACTCAGTGGTAAAATGCTTGCCTATGATATAAGACCTTGGGTCTGATACTCGGCACAAGAAGAGGAGAAGGAAAAGAAGAAAGAGGAGGAAAGAGAGAATCTAAGAGATCATGCCAGGCTTTCTTATTAGCAGTATAACATACATTTATTGAAGGAAGGCCCAAAATTCTGAAAATCCTAACTACTTCATATCCCAGATACAGAAACTGAAAGAGAAGCCCCAGCATCTTGTGCGTGGCCACACTGATTGCCAGCTGAGGTCAGACCTTGGATTGCCACGTCTGTGCCTACCTGTAATGAGCCAGTCCCATGGCATAAAAGCTTCTAATCCTGTCACAGATTGCAACAATGCACACTGATGTAGTTACACTGAACTGAGATGGATCTTCCGAGAAATGATATTTTCAAACAAGCAAATAGGCTCAGGCAGCATCATGGAAGAGGGGGCAGAAAACATGTAAGAGCCAGAGGAGGGGGTTCCAGTGGTCTTCTGGGGTGATCAGGCTGTCACCACTGCTGTGCCCATGAACTCACGGCAGCTGCAGTCACTTATGCGAGAACTGCACAAGACTGAGCCTCTGGACAGTCTAGAACAGATGGGGGAGGAGCTAAGGCGCCTCCAATCCGTTAATGGCTGTTGGGGGGGTGGGAGCCAATTACTCTAGTGGTGGAACCACTGGTAAGTTGCCCTTGTCCCAGCAAACAGCCACACCCATGCTCATGGAGCAAGCCTAACTAAACTCGGTGGGTCATAAGAATATAGAAATAAAACAATCCAATGTAGTGTATGAAGCCTCTGCCATTTGAAATATCTCCCACTCCAGGTGAAGTGTCCATGGCTCCCATGACCGAGAACTGTGAATGCCCCCAGAGACACTTCTTCAAGGGTTTGAGAGCATTGGCAAGGCTGTTGGATTTGGGGTGTTTGTGACGCCCGGATCTATTTCCATATCCGTTTCAAGTTCATGTGCACGTATGATTTGAGGTAAGAAGTCAGATTCATTTTTTATATAGCTTCTGAATGTTCCAATAGCATTTGTCTCATGAGCTGAAAAATAAAGGGTTAAGCACAGAGATTTTTCAAACATCAATCTGCATGTAGCAAATGTGTATATCATCTAAGCCAGCTTCTTTTCCCTCTAAGTACAGAACAGAGCTGAACTTTTCTCTTAAGGTAGATTGAATCTTTGTTTTGACTTCAAGTTTTATTCCATTATGTTCAGAAAGAATACATGGAGTGAGAGGCTGGAGAAATGGCTCAGTAATTTAAAGTGTTCTCTGCTCTTTCCGAGGGCTATAAAGCTTTGTTCCTAGTGCCCTGTCAGGTGCCACATACCTGCCTGTCACCCCAGTTTAAGGGGAGCCAATGCCTCTGGCCTCTGCAGGCCCCTGAACACATTTTCACACACACACACACCCTATCACATACACACAAGCACCCCCTGGCCTCTGCAAGCACCTGAACACATTTTCACACACACACACACCCTACCACATACACACAAGCACCCTCTGGCCTCTGCAGACCCCTGAACACATTTTTTCACACACACACACACACACACACACACACACTCTACCACATACACACAAGCACATAACTTAAGAAATATTTTTAAGAATGCATGGAGTTAAGTCAATTTTATTCAATTTGTTGTGATTTGTTTTGTGTCCCAATATGAAGTCTATTTTAAAGAGACTCCCATGTGTTGTTGAATCTTTTAAGAATTCATCCAGAAATAACAAGGAACTTGTTTTCTCACAAAATAAACTACAGCCTAATGCCCATGTGGCCATCTATCGTAAAAGGTTTCTTTAAGAAGAAATCACAATTCGGAGCCGAGGGAAATGAACTTGAAAATGCACTCACAAAGCAATGGTTAAAGCCCATCATGAATACAAAGTCAAAGACCACAGCAAATAAAATCTGCAGCTTCCTAAAGGAGCCAGCCAACGCCGCATTCCAAAATGACTCGCCGGCTCACACGGCGTCGACTTGTTCAAAAACTGTCCACTAGGTGGCACCCTGGTGCTGCCACAGGATTGAGCCTCTCCTGTGGGTGGCTGCCTGTGACGTCTTCTGGGTTTCATGATACTTCAGCATGTGGGTAGGCCACGGGGCATGCCAACAACTGACAATCGCCCTAGTCATTTGCACAGAGAGGGGAAAAAAGTGTTTATGGGTTGCTCAAGCAAGACAACCCGGGCAGGTTCCAGAGGACTCGCAGGGCAGGTTGAACAACTGAACCATGAGTAGGTGGTTGGGAGCTAACACAAGCCTTCCTTTATCCACAGCCATAGACACAGGTGCCTCCACCTATTTGGTTCTTAATTTCATAGTCTGGGGCAGGATTCTGAGAAGAAAAACAGACATCCACGACCTCGGCCCAGATGAAAATTGTAGGGCATTTTCTCCTTAATAAACAAACAGCTATTAGATGTCTGATATAACATTATTGGGCACCTTACGTTTTCTCGGGGAAGAATGAATACAGCTCATACCTGGGTGTCTTGCAGTCTACCCAAGAAGGAAAGGTGTGTGCACGGGCGTGTGTGAAGTTGTTATTGTCGGACTGTGCGCTGAGGAGAAAGCTAACTGGAGGCTGTGGGTGAGCGAGACTGGTCCTAAAGAATGGCTTCATTGTGGTCTACTGCCTGCTTCTGCCAGCTGAGCAGAGTGCAGACAGGCAGAGCCCCAGCTGTCCCTGTGCAGCATGGGAAAGGGCAGCACTCCAGCTCAGCGCCAATTCCAGATGGATTTCCCTTCCGTCAGTCAACCCTTCACTGAAAGCACCCGCTGACTCACTGGCCCAGTTTTGTAAATCATGTAGACTATTTCAGACATTGGAGCAAATATACCTGATGAGTCATTTGATTTACCTAGTTGACTTAGAAATTTGGATCCATGTTGGGCAGGGTGGTACATGTCTGCAATCCCAGTAATACCAGCACTCCCTAGGCTGAGGCAGGAGGATGAAGAGTTAGAAGTCAGTCTGTGCTACATAGGCCCTGTTTCTGTGTGTGTGTGTGTGTGTGTGTGTGTGTGTGTGTGTGTGTGTGTAAAGAGGGGAAAGTATATGTAAACAAATATGAAATAATTTAATGAGTCACAAATGTAAAAAAATAAATCCCATATTTTTTTTTATGAGGCAGAATCTTTCTATGTAACCTAGAATGGCCTTTAATTCTCAATCCTCCTGCCTCACCCTCATGAGTGCTGGCATCACAGATGTGTGACACCATGACCAGCTCCCAAATCCTATACTTTTAGAAGTGTTTATTAATCACACTTAATAACTTAACCCTCGATTGTACTGAAGTGTGTGTGTGTGTGTGTTTGTGTGTGTGTGTGTGTGTGTGTAAATTTTTATGAAGTATGGATATGCTTTTAGATATTTTAAAAAGACAAGCGAGGTGCATTGTGTTGTAACTTTGGTAACTGTTGGTATAGATGTCTACAACATTGAGATTTATTGTATCATTCTGGTTTTGTGTGTCTGAAAATTTTTAATATCTGTTCCTCAAATTTAATGATTTGGAAAAGGAATCCCAGAATGGGCAAGACCGAGCCCAAGGAATGTGGGTGAAGGTAAGAGAGAGGATGTGGGTGATGTGGAAAAAGCAGAAGTTTGTTCTAGAATCTCCACATACACCATGCTCCCCCACACCTGGATAAAAACATTATTTACCCAAAGAAAGAAAAGAAATATAAATTCTCCCAGAGACATTTGCTAATTTAAACCAGATCTAACATAATTAACTGCTTTTCTGGGCAACCATGTGGGCCGTGGCAAGAACAGGTTATCAAGACTGAGCTGAAAAGATAACGTCACCATAAGCTAGGATAAATTTCTTTAGCGATGAGTACTTTTGTGCAGAATCACAAACATATGAGGAAAGTCATGCTGGCCTCTGGCAGTCTTCTCTGCTCTCATCTGTGGGCTAAAGGAAGAGGATAGCAAACCAAGAGCACTGGGAAAGACTTCAAAGGAAAAGTGGGAAGGGAGGAGGATGGTGAGGAGGAGGGGGAGGAGGAAGGGGAGGAGGAGGAGGAGGGAGGGAGAGCTGATTTAATGTGGGCTGAGCATATGACCCAAAATAAAAAAAACAGGATTTCGAGTTCTTTCACTTTTAGCTTATGGGATGGAGGACAAGTAATTTAAATTTTCCAATAACCAATTCCTCTACGACAAAACAGACATGCTAAGAATTACACAGACATTTTATACAGAATGAATAGCACAGGCATAAATTGCAATATGGATACTCTCTTCACCAACTACCCTTCTAGGCACAAGCCCTGGGGCCCAGCACAGATGAAAACAAATACACAAAATGACAAGTCGTCGGTGGAGCTGAGACCCCACGTGTGCGACATGAAAGTCATCTGGGAATGAAGAGGAAAGGAGAAGAGTTGACTGCTCTCCTTGTCGGGGGAAGACAAACCATAAAGCACCCCCAGAATACTGGCATGTGAAGCGAAGTGTGGGAGGCGGCCCTAAGTAGACAGGGGAACGATGGGATGAAAGACATTTACCATTCCCAATGTTTTTTTTTTTTTCTTGGTGGAAAAGGTTTTGCTAAAGTGTCCTCCTCTCTTTGCCCCCTTGCTTCATTCCTTCACCAAGAAATGGGGAGCTGGTAAGCACAGCTAGGCCAGGACGAACATAACCGGGCCATTACCTCCTCCTTCTCCCCCTAGCGTCTGTGTGCTGAGACACAATTTCTGACCTGATTTATTTCTGGTAGCGCCCTGGCGGATATCGCACAGGGCCATGGACAACGGGGCTTTCTAGCCCTGAAATCCAGAAATCAGCACCATGTATTCCAAGATGCTAAAAATTGTCAGCCTTCCCTGCAGAGGGCAAACCCTCATCTACAGCCAAGCTCACCACATGGTCCACTCAGTTCCACCTGAAGAGTATGGAAACAGTTGTGATACAGTAAATGGTGCTGCATGAGTAAAATTTTTCAAGTCAACGTGTAGGCACTGAATGATTTGTAAAATCAACTGATAAAACATAGGTGATGAATCTAGTTTAAGATTCTGAATCCAGCCCGGTGATGGTGGCGCACACCTTTAATTCCAGCATTTGGCGGGCAGAAACAAGGGGATCTCTGTGAGTTCAAGGCCAGCCTGGTCTACAGAGCAAGTTCCAGGACAACCAGGCCTACACAGAGAAACTCTGACTTGAAAAACAAAAAAAAAGATTATGAACTCAAGTGCTAGAGTCTTGATGCTGTTACATACATGGAAGTTACAAAAGGTGACCTCCTAGGTATTGACATTAGGTTACCAGAGGCTCGGAAGGGGAAGGGGGAGAATGAGCTAGAACAAGGTTAGTTAATATGTAAGAAGAGACAACATTCCATTATGGTGTTCTATAGCCTAGTTATGACTATAGATGACACTTCAAAATTGTCAGAAGACAGTATCTTGTATTTTTCCAACTCAAAGAAAGGATAATGTTCTAGGTGGTAGAGATACCATTTCCAATGACCTGAGTAAAAAGTAATAAAAATGAGTTCCTCTCCCACCTCAACTGCAAACAGCCCAACCTCTTTCTCCTGTCTTAACATGTCTCCAAAGCCTTAGAGGATGCATCTTTGCCGTTCTCTTGTCTCCTCTGGTACACACGTGGCCTCATGACACTAACCACTCTGCACCTAAGATGACATCTCACACATGGAAAGTTTTCCATTGCAGTCTTCCCTTGCTGGCAAACGTGCCTCAAACCCCTGCCCTAGATTTTTATACAGTTGCCTGTAACCTTCAACTTCCCATCAGCTGTTCAGAGAGCCTTTACCCAACCCTTAAATATTTCTTTAACTAAAGTTCATTTATTTTTTGGTGGGAGGGATATACAGATGCCACTATAAGCACCTAAAGGTCAGAGGACAACTTGGCAGAAGACAGGATTTTTTTTCACTACGCAGGTGCCATGGAATGAACTCAGGTCATCAGGCTTGGCCGCAGGTGCCTTGTCCACTGAGCCGCCTCGCTGGCCTTCATCTTGTAGTGGCATTTCCCTTGTATTTCAATAAATAAAGCTTGCCTGAGGATCAGAGAGTAAAACAGTCACATTGGCCAGCCTTACAGACTAGGCAGTGATGACACACACCTTCAATCCCCGTAACCACACGAGTTTGCCATAGAAACCAGGTGTTAGTGGTGCATGTCCTTTATCCCAGAACTAGAGAGGATTGTAAAACAGGAGGAGACAGCTCTCAGTCTCATTCTGAGGTTTCCTGGAGGCAGGATCACCATTTTTGAACTGAGGTCAAGGTAAGTGCCAGTGGCTGGCTGCTCTACTTTTCTGGTCTTCAGGTTGAACCCCAATATCTGCCTCTGAGTTTTTATCAACCATGTTTCATCATCTACAGAATTTGTAAACACAGCATCCTATTTGCTCCCCCCACCAGAGTCCTGACGCTAGATAGGAATTACTCTAGATAGTAATGTGCCTGCTTGATGGTTTTTTGTTCCTTCTCAACAGAGTTCAAACTGTGCAGACAGGAACCCTCTCGTCTTTTTTGTGTGTATGTGTGCAGTGAATCCCTAATTCAATGAATACTTGTCTGTTCATGAAAGGAATGGATTATTATTGAGCCTGGGTTTGTCTAAACTAAAAGAGACTTCATACTTAAGGGGACTTGAAAAGTTCACTAAAAGCAAGAAACAGTGCCCTCGAGGGATAGGGGATGAGGCCATGCTTAGTGACCACAGCCAGGAGAGTGGCTGCCCTCACTCATGTAGTGGGGGTTTATTAACACATTAAATTTTATTTTTACCTATTAGAATATATACAGTATATTACTATAATGGTATATGTATACAATTTTAAATATATAAACCTGAATATAGAAAAATAAGACCACAGATTCTTTTATTTATGGGGTTACATTATCAAAAAACATCTGGGGAGATCGTGCCATAAAAAGAAGGATTTTCCATGGGAACTGGGTACAGGTGACCCTGTTCATCAGTGTTGCATTAAGCAGGTGAGGCAGTGTTGAGGGGAACGCCATTTGCTTGTGATGTGGTCACACTATGCATCCCTGGATGGCCTGGAACTCACTATGTAGGCCTGGCTGGCCTTGAACTCACACTGTTCCTCCTGCCTCTGCCTTCCAAGTGCGGCACTAAAGGTGTGTGCCACCATGCCCAGGTTAGGCAGTGTTTTTAAGCCAAACGAGCTGCCAAGGTGGGGCCTTGTTCCTTTCTTGAGAGATTGTCTATTCTTAATTACCTGGAAAAGTGTTCTTTTTCAGTTTCTTCCTTTAAGAAATTATAGTCAAAATATTTTAGAGTAATATAAAAATAGCTATCCAGCATTAATACATGTTAGCGTCTTGTCACATTCAAGGCTGTTTATAAAGAGACAAAACACGATGATAAACTGAAGTCTATGTATGACCAACTCCAACTCAATCTATTAATACTGTTCTCTCAACAGCACCCACAACACATCACCTTTCACTCACGTTTTCGAGAGATGTCTTTGTTCATAAATCTAGAACTAGTTAATTCTGCAATTCTGCTGAATGCCAGTAGAGTGCTGCACTGTGTGCATGAATCTTTCAGGCGTTCTTTTGGGGATGGGCATTTGAATTGTCTCAGATTATGGCTGTTACAAGTGAGTTCCAGATAAAAACTCTTTTATCGGGGTCAAGAAAAACCTATGTATATTCTGTCAAGACATTTGATAATAAAAAAATCAAATATAACTAAATAGTTTGCATCTACTAAGGTATGTGCTTTATATTATTCTACTTTTTCAACACATACATTAAATTATTTTAATTGAAATATGAATATAAATAGGAAAAAAGAAGTCAAAGTAGCATTACTTGCAGATTATACGATTCTACATATAAACAATCCGAAATGCTCCATCGGAAACTCTTAGAACAAAGCAGCAATATACAAAATTACACACACATCTGGAGCCAGACCGAC